GCGAGCGACTCACTTTTGCCAAGCCCCCACCAAACCACCCTTCCTACACTAATGCCTTCTTAACAACACCACTTAGACGCGTTAAAAGAACGTTAGATACAGCTTGCGCTCTAGGCTCTTAAACAAGACGCAAATCTCTCTAAGTAGCGCGCTGCAGCTATCTATAAGGTTCCTTAAGCTACACTAAACAAACAACGCGCTAGACAACCTTCACACACTAATTCTGCACCTAACTTACAGAACCTAGACAAGAATAAGGAGCAGGTAATTGTTGATTACATCCTTTAGCTAGCTGCGCGAGGATTTCCCCCTCAGCTTGCAGCTGTGGCTGATATAGCCAATTCTTTGCGCGCTGAGCGCAATCTAGGCTATGTTAGCGTAAACTGGCCTAGTACGTTTGTTAAGCGTTAACTAGAGCTTAAAGTAAGGTTTAATTGCAAGTATAACTACAAGCAAGCCCTCTGTGAGGATCTAGAGATTATACAGGGCTGGTTCTAGCTTGTAGAGAATACTAAAGCCAAGTATAGCATCCTAGATAAAGACACGTACAACTTTAACAAGACAGGCTTTATAATAGGCTAGATATCCACAGGAGCAGTTGTTACAGGCTTAGAGCGTTGTAGACAGCCAAAGTCTATTCAACAGGGCAACTAGGAGTAGACAACAGTTATCTAGGGCATTAATAGGGCAGGGTAGGCTATACTACCCTTTATTATCTTCAAGGCGCAACATTACCTCTCTGCCTAGTATAAAGAGGAGGGTCTGCCCTAAGACTAGGTTATTATAGTCTCTAAGAATAGCTAGACTACTAATAAGCTTAGTCTAGAGTAGTTAAAGCACTTTAACACGCATACAAAGGAGCGTACTATTAGGACCTACTATCTACTAGTTATTAATAGTTATAAGAGCCATAACTTGCTTAAATTCTAGCAATACTGCAGGAATAACAAGATTATTACCTTATGTATGCCTCTACACTTATTGCACCTTCTACAGCTGCTTAATGTAGGCTGTTTTGCCCCTTTAAAGCAGGCGTATAGGCGCTAAGCTAACAACCTTATACACAGCTAGATTAACTACATTACAAAGACTAAGTTCCTGCCATGCTTTATACGCGCCTACAACGCTGCAATTACTACTAGCAACATCTAGTAAGGGTTCTAAGGTGCTAGACTAGTCCTGTTTAACCTAGAACAGGTTATAAGCAGCCTTAATATAAAGCTGCGCACTCTATCACTACAACTCCCTGTTAACAAAGAGCCCTAGCATTTATAAACCCTAAGTAATACCCTAGAATTTAGGTTATAATCTACTCTAATTTAAGACAAGTTCTAGAAATACTAGGGTAGCTTACTAAATTCTACAACAAGCGCGCTTAAGCATTATATTAAGGGCACAGCAATAGTCACACACAAGCTTATGCTTGCAGAGAAACAGATTGCTGAGCTTAAAACAGCTAACAAGGCCGCTGCACGCTAGCAATTGCACAAGAGAAAGTAAGTCTAGGCAGAAGGGACCCTAATAGTTAAGGATAGCCTATAATTAACAACTCTAAAGGAGTTTAGGGCGCGTAGTAATAGGAAGAAGGCAAAGAAGCAAGTGCGCGCTAATAGGGCTAAGCTGACCTAAAGGCGCTATAGATAGTGCAACAAGACTAGACATAACGCGCGAACGTGCAAGAATAATGTAGAAGTAGTTTCTAAGTAATATTACAGGTTGTTCTACCCTGCGCAGCGCCGAAGTGGGCTGATAGAGGCCATAATGGGGTGAGGTTTGGTGGGGGCTTGGCAAAAGTGAGTCGCTCGCCCGTTGAGTCGTTCGCCCGTGGGGTACGTTATCTGCTCTAGTAGATATCTAGCCTATTATGAAGCCTGTCTTGTTAGATTTGTACTTGTCTTTATCTAGGATGCTATACTTAGCTTTTATGTTGGCTACTAGGCTAAACTAGCCCTAGACTTCCCTAACATCCTTGCAGGGGACTCTCTTGTAACTATACTTGCAATTAAACCTCACTTAAAGCTCTAGTTAATGCTTGATAAACGTACTAGGCTAAGTCGAAATTGACTTGATTGTTGACGAGGCTGGTTGCAGTCGCCGCGTGGCTTTGGGAGAACCAATTTTTCCTTGCCAGAGACCAACGGCACCTTCCGCGGCATCTTCGTAGCTCGCGGCCTCCGTATCTGTCCAAGTAGTTCTTCCCTTGCAAACACTTGGTGAACGAAACGGGTGCCCGCTGCCTCACTACTGCCCCGCCCTTTACTCAATGACTTATCGGTACCGATGTCTATGCGAACCATACAACCAACATCCAATAACCAGCAACCAACAGATTCATTTCGCTGTCTACGCTACAAGCCATTTCAAAAGTAACGGCCACCACATCGCACAACTCCTAAGTGCACATCTGAACGTACAACACAATGTTGACGACTATCAATTGCCCAGTCTTGGACAAACGTTCCGCTGACGAAACGGTACAAGGTTTGCAATCTGCAATCGACACAAGCAGGTTGACATTGGGGCAAGCAAAAAGCTCGTTGAAACAAAAAGGGTCGTTCGAGGAGTCGTACTGGGAGAAAGCGGTGGACCTCATAACGCACCAGATACAACTGTATCAGTTCGAGCTTGACAAAGCTCAAGTCCAGTATGTTGCAGATGGTGCAACCATCGAAGAAATTCGCGAGACCGATGAATATTGCAGCAGGACAGAAGCGACCAAGACCTATGAACCCAAGAGAGATTTTTGTAAGACGGCTAGAAGGTCATGACTGGAGATTTGGACGCAGAAGCTCTTACCAGCTCTTTCATGGAATTGTTTCCAAGTTCGTCTCTGGGTCGAAACATCAAAGAGAGTGTGAGAGGCGACCAGAACGGGAGAGTTCAACAGAAATTTCGGCAAGGCATCATTGAGTACTATGATCTCCAGCATCCCGGAGGAAAGCTGTACAGGGGTCTGTTGTGGAACGTTGTCACAGCGCAGTACGAACCTGCATCGACTCTCGTCGCGTTGCGCATCTTCTCCTGAAAACATAGAAGAGCCGCAATGGGAGCAACCTTCAGGGACAAGACATGGCAGAGGAATTGTTCAGCCCTGAGAATGGATTGTTGTTACCGTTACGGCTGGAAAACCAGCTTGATAACGGTTTCTTGACTATCCGCCCAGACATCGAGGACTTCCGGAACAAGGAGCTGATCAGCGCTTGGAGAAACTCTACCGATGAGCCCTACAGGATTCACATTGTGGACAAGAAGAGGGATACGATGGAAAAAATTGTCTATCTGAACCCTGAGACAACTTGGAGGGAACTGGGTGGCAAGTTGCTGACCTTCAAGACCGGCGCGTTACCTGTGTTTCCATGATATGTGTCAACATGTCAGACCGACCTGGAGACGTCAAGGCGAATCTCTCGACACCATGCTCGAAGAGAACGGCAAGTATTGCTGGGCAACTTGGGCGCGCTACCTGTCGCGCAACCAGATCAAGACCTTGATGAATGAAGTGGGCCATGAAGCACGCGAGGAAGAAGAAGTCGGAGATACATTGCTGGACGATATTGCTGAGCCAGAGAATCTGATGCTCACTCTGATCAATCAGATTGAATACACGAACAAGGTTACGAGCCAGGGGAACAAAAATGACGAGGGCAAAGATGAGGATGAGGACAAAACAGAGTGCGGTGAGCAGAAGTAATTGGAGAGTGAGTCCTGGGGTGTCGATGAGCACAGAGTCGTTGGCGGGATGGAGAAGTAAAGGGCCGCTATTGTTAAAGAGACAGCTACAAAGTGCGTGATCCTGTCGTAAAGCTTCAAAGCATGACCGTCTTCAAGATTGCCCTGTTATAAAAGGGGACCAAAACCTTCGGGCAGAGACTCGGCACGGGTATGATCCTGGAACCCAGTTGGGTCGAAAGCCGGACCGTAAGATCGTCGTTGTGCTGTGAGCAATTTCTGCTTCTCAAAGCAAAGTGCCCGGGACCAATACGCAGAATAGCACATGCTTACCTCGCAATTATTCATTCCTAAAGGTGGCCAAGTGCATACAGACTAATGACAGTCATAGCCCCCAGTTCCGAAAATACAGAACAGCAAATCAAGTGGAGGATACCTGGACCCTGTGAAAGCCTGCAAATATCTCAACGGATGTAAGAACTGTCGATGACGATGGCATTAGTGCAAAACCTGCATTGCTTCTCACACTTTGTTCGAACTGAACGTTGAAAGCACTGAACTGAGAGAGTCTAACTGGTCTACTCAGTAAAGGCTCTCGGGTTGTAGGCGTGCGAAGTAGTATGGAAGGTGCAGTCGGTCGAGCTTCGTTTCGATGGCTCTTGTGAAGCGCAGCGCAAGATTGTCGCAAGCTGTCAAATTATTCGGCAACCGCAACGGAGTCGGAGTCAGTGACGAGTCATTCGACGGCCAGGCTGAAGAGCCCGTAGTCATAAGGGACCGATTGGATATCCTCCGAAGGTTGTGGTTGTGTGTTGGTGAGCTGGGGGTTCCGGGAGCGCTATCGGTGTCGTAAAGTGTTGCAGAGATGGCGAGCTATTTAAAGTTGTGTTGTAAGGGTGCTTGGCTGCTGGCTGTTGGCTGGATGTTAGCGCGCCGAGTGGTACGGCGCAAAGGGATTGCGGCTGTGAAGCCGGGTCAGTGATAAGCTGGTCAACAACACCACCAACGCGGAGCATCGATACGAGTCCCTCCCTCTCGGAGTCATGACGTAAGCTCATCGTCAGAGTAGTGCAGGCTGAAAACATGTGCGGCGTGATGCAAAAATCTATCGACTGCAGTCATCTCCGCAATCACCTGCCATGGGGTGAGGTGCCACGATTGAGTTCAGCAGTCTCGAGACGGTCGGAGCGTTCGCCTCTGCTGCGCTCCGTTTTCGGCGGCGTTCGTTTCGGTCCCGTACGTCTGGGTCGGGGAAAGTGGGAGGTGGAGACAGGAATGGAAGCTCTAGCGAGCTGCCAGCCGTTACCTAGCAGCAGCTTATCCAACGGGGAAGTGTTGTTGTCGTATCATGTTGACTCACGTCTGCTGTTGAACTCGTACATGCGCACATAGATACGCGCTGATGACCCTTCAAGATTCAGCTCCTTGAACTATGGTTGTATCTCGGTGTCAGGAAATAAAGTCCAGGCTTGCAGGGACGTTACGTGAGGCTGTCTTTGGCGCGTAGTGATGGCGCGGCGGGGGAAACCTTGACGTGCCATGGGTATCGATAGGCACCTAGGTACCGGATGGACGCATTCAGGCAGCGCCACGGCACTTTGTGGAACAGGCAGCCGTAAGGCACGTTTCCAGAAAAGATGTAGCATCTTGAGAGCTGCATGGCGTCTGCCCTGTGAAACTCACTCCTCTTTTAAGAAGCGTACGAAAAAGTCGGCTTTTTTGGGTTGGGTTCTGCGTCTGCTGACGTGGTCTGATTCGCGTCCTGGAGACGGGTAGCCGCAGTAGCGAAGCGTGGCTACCTACGTCTTCCCGCGAGCTAAAACGATGTTCGTTCGCCGGCTGCTTGCAGATGAGAGAAATGACTTGCTTCGCCTCGTTGCTTTTTGAAGGTACACAGCAGGAACGGGGCTGCGGCAAGATGCCAAAACGGAGCCTGTAGCCAGGACAAGCGATGGCGATTGTGCCACAAACGACGAAATAGTGACAAACGTTCGAATCTGCTCTCCTTGGAAGATTCGTGATCAAGGGTGTAACTTGCGCCGTGCAGCAAGTTGCCAGGCCCAAGGTCACGTTGTAACGCAGAAGGTTCTGCCCATCATTGTTTGAATTCTTGCAATAATGATCGCCAGGTACAAGACAGAGCTCTCGCGCAAGTGAAATCATCCCTGCTGATCGCATTTTAGCTGATACGACGAACAGCTTGCACAGATCCTCAAGGGAATGATCGCTTGCCGATAGCTCGCATAAGGCAGGAGCACTGGAGAACCATGTATTCGAGCATGTTTCGACATCAGTTCCGACGATTGAATAGGACCGCCGTACAACGTTGCGGCTGCAGCATTTCCAAGCCGAACCGTCTTGTTGCAAACGACTCCACTGGGCAGGGCTTGAGGTCGTACTGGTTACCTAGCGTGTCGGATGAATGGTAGCTTCTCGACAAACGGTCCGATCTTCTTCTTGAGAGGGCTCCCGTCCGTCACCTTGGGCTTCGCGGTATCTGTGTGGTAGGGCCGTATTGTATGCTTTGGTCGTCAAAAGGTCTGTTATGGAATATCGGCGAACTGGCTTCCACGGGGTTTTCCAGTCGCCAGGGAATAGGCCACAGCTCAGAGAGACTCCACGTGTCGGCAGGGTTGTCTGTGCAAGTTGCGTCTGCTTCGAGAAGCATCCCCTGCTTCGCTTCCATTGGAGTGGACAGCCGCTGTGGATTGTCGTAGCGTGCCAAAGCAAAAGACGGCGAAACCGTTCGCTAGCATCCACCCTCCCGACTCCCCGCAAGCCAAAATTCCACGATCGCAATTTCAAAAAACTTTTCTGTGGAGAAATGCGTCGGGCTGTCAGAGTGCAGACAACGGGCAGAAAAACAACGATGGTGCTGGTCAAAATGCAAAATCTCCGATGATGTATGCGACAGTGGAGCGCTGAGTAGCCTGTAGGAAAGCTTGCCTGTGACGAGACGCGTCAGGGCGCAAGTCCCTCAATTGAGAAAGTGACCGTGTGCATGCCGTCTTGGTCCCTGACATCCACACGGGATCTTCCTCGCGACAAGAGATGCTGGAGTCAGTCCCTCCAGATTGCTTGCCGGCCCGCGAGTCGACACGAAGCTTCTGCGTCTACCTGGCACGGTGGTGATGAGATTCTCGCAAGTGATAGTGATGTGTCTCACTTTGAATCTTGTAATGTACCCCTGCCGATGTCTCGTTGGCAAGGGATAGACCATCGACTTCTACCAGCCAATCAGCGGCGAAGCTTCGAGACGTAATTGTGCCATTGGTGGCGGAACTTGAGCCGCTCGTAAATTGTAGGAGGTTGGCTGTTCGGGGCATCCGCTCAACGAGGAACTGAAATGTCATCGACTTCCATGTCAAAAGCAAATTCTGCACACATGGTTGACGAGCATGACGAGGGATAGACACTGGGGACGACGCAGCGACAGGTAGAATTTTGACACCGCACAGGCGGTTGTGCGTGAAGCCGGCAACTTGCAAGATGCCCCGGTAGGTGCAGCGAATATGCAGCAGCAGACAGGCGCCCGCGGAGGCTTGCATGGCACCCGTGTCCGTGGAGCGCGGAAGGCTTGCAGCGATCTGATCGCAGCGCGACTGCGGCAGGTCTGAGAGACGGCGGCGGCGAGAACCTGCGCAGAGAGAGGCGAAGCAACACGCACGCCTGGCGACGTATCTCAGACGCTGTGTTTGATCAATTGAAACCGTGTCGGCGCCTGCAGCCTGGCGGATAGGGCTTCAAGTGAATCTGCGACACTGCGAATGGCCAGTTTCTAGCACTCTTCCAGAAGCAAATGTCCAAGCGAGAGCGTAGGAGCATGGTCCCTACCGAGGCTCCACTCATCGAGCGGGCCAACGCTCTCATTCCGGCAACCGGCGCTGCTTCATGGAGTAGAATTGCAATTATCTAGTGTGTTTGCTGTCTGCTGCATGGTGAGGTGGTCGCGGGCCTCTGCCTCTGACCGGGCGTCAGGACGCGAACGGAAGCCGCGACCGGCGTGCTGCAGCAGCAATCGGCAAGAGCTCTACCATATGGAAAGCACCCGCCAGAATGAGGTCGCCCTGGCGAAGCGTTATTCAATGCTTTCCTCTCAACTGTCCTGGCAGGCTGGCAGTGTGATGTTCCACTGTGGATACACGTCTATATAATATGCACCCAGCAACCTGGGCGAGGGACGCGATGGTGCATGCTGGTGGCGACGATGAAGGCGGGTTGATTCACCGGCCGCGCTATCGGGGGAAGGGTCCCGCGCCTCACAACCTTCTGGCACGGTTCTGGCGCGGAGCCAACACAGGCGGCACGGCGAGCAGACCACGCAGAGCACGCAGACGACTCAGAGCGAGTCGTGTCGACGGGAAGAAGTGGCTCTGGAAGTTTGGGCGCGCAGTCTGAGCGCATGGAGAAGGGTCACCGGTGGCAAATTTCAACGGCAGCAGCGTTGAGTCCACACGACGCCAGCAGCTGCCATCACGAAGCGTTCGACTGTATGCTGAGATGAGCTGGTGGGCACTCTAGGTTGCCGTGGATAGAGTTTGTAACTCTATCCCGCAGCGCCTCGTATGAGCGTCGCCCAAACGCACCCCAGCGCCAGCCGTTGGTCGACCCCTGCCTGGCGCCGTCGGGCCTGCAGGTACACGAGCCTAGCGCGGCAGGGGATAGCCACTATCGTGGATTCAGCTGCGCAGATCATCCTGGCTCCCTGTTATGGCCGCACTCAATTTCTGCCAGATGCAGGCCCGAGTTGTCGACAGGGAGCTAGTTGAAACAGCCCCGAAAGACCCGTCTTGCTCCCGGCACGTCATGTAGCCTGCGCTTTGAACTTATGAGCACTGATGCTCATTTCAGGTGTCTCGTCGGCAGCCAAAGCGCTTTTGGCAAGTCAGTACAGGCCCCCCCTTATTTCTGCTCGAAATATATCTAAGGCACGGCGCGCCCTCCGGAATCTCGTCTCTTTCACTATCACTCCCTTCGAGCTCTCCGTCCATTCCTTCCCTGTCTCTCAGTTCAGCGCACTGCCCGGCTCAGTCCACTGCAACACAAACGCTATTTAATCCATCGCCCTACGCTCTCACCCGGAAGCTCGCCAACCACCCACATTCGTTCAACTCAGCGTCTCTACTCAGCAAACAACATCGCACAAACTCAGCTCAGCTGCAACTCACACTCGTTTCCGGTCTATTTGTAAGTTGACCAGTGCCATTGGTGTTTCCATATTTGGCGTCAGCGTGAAAAAACGAGCTAACATATAAGGTAGACGACACATCCACCAACACAACAATGATTGCCAGAGAAAACGAATCTAACAACATGGGCCGTGGCGCATACGACACAACAGGCGCTCCCAAGCCCCCGCCACCACCGAAATAAGGGTCTCAACGGTCCCGTCCCAACGGATTGTTCACGACTCTCGCTCGTATCTGCAAACACCGCATCGCAATTCCTGGCAGACCGAGGCGAATAGGTGGTGTTCCGTTGGGAACAGAGGGATGACAGTGCTGCGCCTCGTAAGTGACAGGACACTCCTTGCCTTACCGACACCCTGGCTAACCAATACATAGCTGCAGCCCTACCTCAATTCCTCACAACACCCGCCTTCATTGGCACAGCCCTTTGCACTCTGGCGACAGCGTTTTCCAGCCGCCATCCTTCAGGAATACGCCTTTTAATATTCGCAACTGCACCCGCGTCCCTTCGTCAGCAGCATAATACCCCTGCGTTTATCAGCTCCGCCCTCCATTAGCGACAATCTTTCCATCGGTCCTGGTTTCCCTTGCGTCCTTACGTTTAGCGATTGCATCTTCTTACGGCAAAAGTCATTTTATCGGCGTTCACCACTATAGACGGTCCGGGCCCCCAGGCATAGATACCAAAACGGGTATTTCTCTCTCTTTCTCTCTCTCTCTCTCTCTTTCTCTTTGGACACCTGTATACGGTAGATCTCCGTCGTCTGCCTTCATCGGCCTTGTTAGACACGGATTGTCTTGTACGATAGCTCGGCGAGCTTGTTAGACTTGGACGAGCAATCGGGCGCTTTTGCATTTCTCGGACGGCCATCTTTGGATACACACAGATGGACGCCCTGCCACGGCAACTTGATTTTAGACAGACAATGCCTGGGTCTCGGGTAGTGTCTCGCGACACACGGGAACATAGACTAATACCAATGTACAACATTACTATTATACGCATTTTCCAAGCTGCTGATCACATCTCGACTTCTCCTCGCTGTGACCGTCTCGTCCATTGCTTCGGGGCGGTCGCCGTCGTACTTGTGACGCCATTGCTGGTCGCCACCGCAACATCGATAGATCCGAAGACGTATGAATACAAGTGCCGAGTTGTTTTATCGGTGCTGAGTGCCGACCCTTGCTTGTGCGACAGTTGGCGGCTCCGCCGCCTTTGGAAGCCGCGATTTGCCAAGGCTGGAAGGTGGAGCTCCCTCTGCACCCCACGCCGAACTGCGACCTCACCGCAAGCTCTCAAGCACACGCCAACGCCTCTCCAGCTACCCGCCCTCGCATTGCCGCCCTCCCCTACGTCGACTACGCCTACAGCATAACCGCAACCATGGCCAACATCAACTGGCGGACGATCAACATTGATGCCCTGGATCCGGACAGCCCTGCCAACTTCGACCTGAGCTCCCTCACACCGGCCGTTGAGCCCATAGCGACCGCCGACGTCCAGAACACCTCGCAACAAATACGGCAGCTGCTGAGGGGAGGAGACAATGAGGGTGCTCTGCAGGGCGCATTGGAGTCTGCACCTTATGGCGCCGACGACAAGGGCAAGGTACGTCGGTGCCTGCTACCCCAAGAACACCACTGTGACAGCCGCACCCACCATTGTGACGCCACATGCACCCCAGCTTATGGCTGTGGGACAAGGCCATCGAATGTCTCTCCACACCCGCTGCGGCCTGGTCACGACGTTACCACCGCTGCGGAGCCGGGTAACCAGCAACCAGGACGAACGAACCTCGCACAGTCGCACGTTTGAGCGGCCTTCCAGCTGACAAGCCCACTTTGTTTTAGGAAATCTACCTCGCCATCGTCCTCGAAGTTCTCCAATCCATTCGACAAGCCGAGATTGCTCAGTTGCTGAGCCGCATATACAGTGCACCTGGTGGGACAGAAGCATTGGACGTGCTGATGAAGTACATGTACGACTCGATTCCATTCCTTCTACCTAGTCCATATTGCGCGAAAAGCTATATAATAAGGCGTAATTGCTACGGCATGCCTTGCTGACATGTTGATCTACAGTTACAAGGGCATGGCACAGGCCGCTCCAGCTAGCAGTGCGCGTAACATTACCCCACAAGCAACCGGCTTTTCCCAGGTACACTCAAGAGGCGGAGGGGAGGGAGGTGGCCAGGCTATGAGCGTTCTGCTGAGCTGGCATGAGAAGGTATGTGCTTGACGTCTCGCCACATACAGCAACCCTTTACGTGCCACTGGGGCACAGTTGTCATTGCTGGAGCACCATCAGTATGAACGGCAAAGCGCAGCTGCTAACTACTGCAATAGCTTGTGGAGGTAGCAGGTCCCGGGAGCATCGTCAGGGTCATGACGGATCGCCGCACAGTCTGAGTCGACTACACGTCCTCTCGCCATACTTTCAGCGCGCAGACTATTCACGCTGCCGCACGTGGAAGAAAACAAGCGTTGGCAATCTATACATACCGCATACCCAGTAGCTAGCACGCTGCTGGTGGTGATGAATCATATTCGTCGTACCAACGAACCACATCTTGCACAATCTCGACCTGCCTTGTGTCCATCCTACGTTGCGATCTGCTTTACGGCCCTATTTATTACCATGAGTCAATACTTCGACAAGGATTTTTTCCGCAGGGCCGGTAACCTTATCCTTGCAATTTTCCAGAAGGAAAAGCACTGACGTCTCCTTTTTCCTGGCCTCCAAAGTGTCCACTTCAGCCTTGTGATACTAGCAGCGACATCCCCAATAATTTCCCAGCCATCATCCCGGAGCCTGATGGCCTGCTACGCTTACCGGATATGCCCTAGACCGTAGACCTGCGAGCCGCGTGCACGGCACAGCTTCCACGCGGATCTTAGTACACGCCAAGAGGCTCTGCTCTGTATTAGGACACGCTTAATGTTTGAACGCTAATGCCAAGTAAGGGAAGTTTTGAGAGCGTTGGGAGATGAAACGTGTCGTCTCTTCAAGATCAACATTCAAACTTGACAGTTTGAAGTGAGACGGCGATGAGTTGCTATGTGAAAGTTCATCCTTCGTTGCGTGGCAATACTTGACGCCGCAAGGTTTTACCTTCTGCAGCGCTATTTGCGTCGTCTAACAAGACAAGGAAAGCAGGTTTTCGTAACCGTTTCAGGCTCGAACAGGCTTCCAGAAGGAAGTCATTTTACCGCGGTTCATGCGCACCCCATCTTCCCAGGTCGGCTATCCTGATCTCACGCAAGGCACTAGTCGCTTGCAGTCTTACAAACAAGACGTCGCATTGACAGCAGACCCGCGAAGGGACCTCGGCTCCAAAGACCATGAAACTGGCGATCATGTTCTCAACACCAATGCTGCTGCCCATCTCGCACGCCGCACAATCTCAGTATGAACCCTTCAAGCCAACGCATCACGCTATCAAGTTCTTAAGCTGACAACAGGAGTCATTTGGCAATTCTCCAATGCCAATATTGCATATCATGTTGTCAAGTGGGTAAGCCGCCCTTGTACGCCGCATCCACCGTCCAACAGCCGCCTTGGCGATGCTGCATGCCCGTTGGAAGGAAGACACATGGCACTTGCATGGGAAATCACATCGCGCCAGGGCCACCACATGCACACGCATCGCCTCGTAACAACGAAACAACCACGCCGCTGGCTTGTATACGATCGCCTTTCTCTCCTGTCTCTCTGCCCTTTTGTATGCTTGCCGCGTGTCTGTGGCAGCCCATTATCGATTGAACGAGATCTAGGTAGCTCGGGCAAGCACGCTTGGGGTACCGCGCCCGAAATCGGTGGCGCTGTTCAGCACGGGAACGGCCGGAGCAGGAGCGACTCATCTTGGGGATGAGCCGTGTCTCGGTTCGGACGAAGTGCAGGAGTGCCTTTCTCGGCCCGAGGAGTCGAGCGCCTTCGTGGCCATGCCCGTGCCGCCGAATTGGCCGTCGTTTGACGTGCGCTTGGCACAACGGCGTCTGCCGCAGCCTTGTCGTGGGCTCATTGTTGATGCAGATTTCGTCGTGGCCGCACTCATTGGTTACCGGCGTTTGCTCCGTGCGAGATGTCATTCTCCAGTATGTCCCCGTAGGATCCGGGCGGCGACCGACCCTTATATAGCTGGAAGCGCACACGAGTCTAAGTAAAACATCAACGCCGCGCTCAGTATCACATACGAGACACGCAACGGCAGCCAAGCGTGTACACTGACAGAGTGAACGGGATGGACGATGGTGATATTGTTGGCACAGATATTCTCGGTAGCCGACGACCACGACTCCATGCGCAACACCTCGGTCTTCGGGATCGCGAGATTGTCGAGTTTTCAAGCCCTAGCCGCAAAATCCTCCCGCGCTACATCAGACCCTTGACCATAGTCTCGTTGCCCGATGGTGTGCTGTCAACAAGAGAGTAGGCTGAACTGAACATCGTTCTGTGAGCTGCGTATTTTGGTCGCATACAGACAGACAGATCTGAGAAGTGAGAGCGTTTTGGTTGCAGTAAAAAAACTGGTGGGGAAGTTGATAGCACGCAGAGCTGACATCCATCTGGGCATTCATCGATCTCACTCTGTTCACATGGTTGACTTTGTGTAGAACCTTGATCGCACGATAGTGGTGGATGCGTTGAATTACATCTGCATAGTGTCTCGTTGCCGGGCTTGCCTGTCTTGCTGAAGGTGCAGTCACCGCTTGGCTCGTTGCAAAGTGTTCGCGAGGGCAAAATGCCAAGTCCTTTAGCTGCTTCTACTAAGGCCCCCATTTGACTCCACCAGAGCTTTTTGAGGACGTGCCGTTGTGGGACGGTGGCATCGGGGATGGTGACGAGATGCGTTGTCATACGCTCTTCCCTATAACGATTCTGGCCCTTGGGAGCGATCCATTGGGTTTGATGTAAGCAACGAAGGCCCTGGTTTGGGACGCTCTAACAGCATCGCACTACCGGTACTAGACTTCACGCTTCGGCATCGGCTAAATTTGATTGAGATGCGGCAAGTCGTCTCCGTACCAGAGAGCGATGTTGAAGGGCACAATTCCGGATGGAAAAGACACGAGAAACTGTGGATTGGACTTTACAGTTGAACTGCAGACTAAATCCACTTTGTATCGATCAGTGCAGGTCGTTGGGGATACCCCCCCCCCCGTGAAACAACGGCTCCAGATCATGAGCACAGAAACATCAACCTTGTTGATGAGAGTAAACTTCAATGGGAATCACGAGAGGCTTCATGTATGAATTCTTCACCCTCCCCCGCCGTCCGCCTTTGAAGATGATCGCGCCTGGTCTTCAGATAAGGAGGGCAATACGGAGCGAAGTAAAAACAATAATGTATGAATCTGTCAGTTACTGTCGAGCTTAGTATTCCGGCATCGGTAACACGTACTCCCCGGATGTATTCTCCACATCGGCATCCCTGCACTTCTCTATCCCACCAGCAGCCCCATGCTCATGAACACTCCAAGTCCCACTCTCCACCATCTCAAGTCAATGCATCAATACCTCCAGCAGCCTCGCATTCCTCCAGCCCGCAAATGGCGTGAATCCAACACCGTAGACTTTATTCCTCAGCCTCACTTGCGCGCCATCGCTTACCCTCGCGAACCCGTCACCCTCAACATGCGCCGGAAGCAGGAGCTCATTCCCATCCTCCGTATGGCTGGGTGAGATATACCCCAGCGCTATGATTGAGAGTCTTATTAAAATAATAATAGAATGAGTGGTTTAGATCCGTCTTCGACTTCTCCACTTCTTAATCATAGTTACGATAAATGCCACGAACAGCGGCTGAGAGACTCGGGGCGTGCGAGTAGACGTGCCAAATCGTTCTGAGGAGCTAGGACCATGATCCGGTGCCTAGTTTTGCGCGGATAATGCGCAGGGCGTACACGTATTAGGACGTGAAGAGCAGAGCAGGAGGGACTCCGTCGTTGTAGGGCGCTGGGCCCGTGGGACATGACCAGAATAGCTGGTGGGCAAATCAGAACGAGCTTGGGATTGAGAGGTCGGGGCAATGAAATAGAAGTTTGGGCGGCAAGCGCGGAGCAGGAAGGGGTTGGTGAAGCCTGATATGAGTTGCATAGTTTTGAGAACCTACTCGTCGACTAGGCCTGTGCTAGCTTCCTTCTCCTTTGTTGCCGGGTTGTTGGGCATACGATATTGGATGGCTTGCACAAGTCGATTAAACTTGTCAACTGTCTCATTTAGGATGGTCTCACTGCACGGTAGTTCGACCAAGGGGTCCTGCGCTGCCAGTTGCTGAGGCAGTGTGTCGCGTTCTATTTCTGGCATGGCGAAAATCTTACCTTTGCTGACCATAGTTAGTCAAGACTCGAGGATAGTTTCAAGCGGTCGCCATAGAGTCTAATTAGCGAGGTGTCCATACATGTCCCAGAGTGATGGTAGAAGTTTCGCAAGGTTGGCTGCTGATCAAAGTTGTATACTATAATCCTTCTCTACTAGCACCGTTTTATGAGGACTACGACAATCCTTGAGGGTGACTTGCAAGCTAGTTCGCCGCATACAGGCTCAAGTAGCGTTTCTCGTCCCCCCTCTTTTCTCCGCTAGTCTATGTACACTGAACTCCCCTGGTAGAGACTTTGCACGTAGTAGAAAGTAAAAGTGTTGACCGTCTGGCGATTGGCGTGCTTGTCTTACAAAAGCCGAACATATCTGGCGTCAGGTCGCTGCGGATCTTCTCAGCGCCTGATAGATCGCTATCGTACCAAGTCTTGCAGTGCGACTCGAACGTTTCTGGGCTGTTGCCAGAGTGCGTCCAGCCATGGAGCAGGATCGCGTTGTGGAGATTGACGCAGCGGTGAATGTTCAATGTCGAAAAGGCCACAATACTCTGAGCGGACGGTATAGGTCCACGCGGAGATGGCTCGGTCTTATTGCTGATTGCATGCTTATTTTAACAGAATTTGTTGCGGTGCAAGTCGGTCCTATAGGCCTTGATCGTCACCTCTGTTGACTACCTTGTACTAGCACGTATCAGGGCATGTATAAATATATGGTCGCCTCATAGCTAGCAAGCAAATCAGCGCAGTTTTCCATCGGTACATACAGCGGCTGCGTCTGCCGCGACAGAATCTAGTCGCTGTCGCCTTGCTGCCTAAAGAGGCGAGGGCGAGCTAAACCAATTGGAGGCCAATGCGGGAAATCATCTAGTGGTAATCAAATCGGCGTTGATCTAAGATGGTGTGTGCACTCGCAGAGACATTTAAAGAGTGGATAGTTCCATGTTGTTTGTTATCGCTGCAACATCTGCGTGACTGCACAGGAGAGCTCCCGCGGGTATCGAGCTGGCTTCTCCTCGTATATCAAGCCCTTTGGCCGAAATTCGTGAAAATAAGCGAGACATGCTAGTATCGAAGGAAGTCAGAGTGTCAGTCTTGAAGGATAGCAATTTGCCGTACAGCTCCCTCCAAGTTGTCTCATCACAGTCGAATGCGACTCACGCGTCCAAAGCGACCATCTGTGAGGCTGCCGGAGGCCTTTAGTAACATCTGTCACTTAATCAATATCCAAGCTGTGACGATGGTAACAGCGGTGATGGCAGGGTTTTGAACCATGTCCGATCAAATCTCGGGCCATGTTTTCATCACTGATCGGATCGAAGCCGTCTGCTGGTATGAGGCATAAGCTCAGCCATATACTTTCCGGCCACATATACTTTCCGGCCACCACATCCAAAGCTGATGAGTGTGGCTACGTGAACTGTCGATTGAGTCTACCTGAGGGAGCGATTATCTACAGTGCGTGAAAGCGGGAGACCTAACCCAATCGAGAAGCGAGCTGGCCTATGAGAAGCGCTGCCCTGCGCGGACACACCCCCACAGCGAGTGAATTGAAGCTCCAGGAGCTCACGCTGGAAACATGGTAACCCTGATTATCCTCCGCCTGTTGTCGCCTATTCTGTCCTCTATCATACTTAATTTGTGTGTGGCTGCTGACGCTGTTGTCTAGCAGTTGCTGTTAATTGTCAGCCTAGTAGTGACGTCAGAGGTGCTGTTGGTAGTGTTGTTAACAATTGTAGGCTTGCCAAGGCCAATTTAACAGAGAAATCGCTTGTGAGCTACGCGATTAAGAGGTTTAGTAAGGCTGTTAGCAGCCATAGCTGTTGTGCAGACGTGTTCAACTGTAAGATTGTAACAACGCTCTACGAACAGTGACCCGATACCACTAGGATACAGTTCTAGCGACTCATGACCATGGCCCTTGTCGCATGGCATAAGCTTACACTAAACTACCACCAAACCCTTATATATAAGGAGCAAGGAACTGTAGCATTATAGAGTAGTTTTTCTATATCCTTTTGTACAAGACCTATAGGTGTAGAGAATATATCCTAGTGTTCTTATTATCCTAGCACTCCTATATGCCTTGTAGCAGACTCACACCTATTCTAGATATCTCTCTTCTTGCCTGCATCGTTACAAAGATAACTTTTACAGACGCGCTCCTTAACGTAGTAATAGTAGATATCTACATGCTTAGTACGCTTATAGTGGCTGTCACTATAGAGAAGCTTAATATAAGGCTTGTTGTTGCTAAACAGCTTAATAGGGTGAGTATTGTTAGACTTGTAGCTAAGTTAATAAAGCAGCTAGTGAAGCTAGGTGGCCTCTTTAGCTGTGAAGGTTATGGCCACATACTCTGCCTCTGTTGTAGAGGTGGTAACAAGCTTCTGTTTAACAGATTTGTGACAGATAGGCCTACTAGCTAACTTAAATAGATAGCTAGAGGTGGACTTGCAGTCTTTGCTATTAGTAAATAAAGCATTAGAGTACCTATAGAGACCTAGGTTAGTAGGAGCTAACTTAATAAACATGTCAATAGTAAGTTTAGCACTGCAAGGAGCTTTGTATGTTATAATAAGATCCTTATAGGTCTTAAGAGAGTTAATAACTTGTATAGCGTAGTTAAAGTAACAGAGCGTGGGGTTGCTTAGGCTGGCGGATGGGTAGGGTATGCTTTTTTACGTTTTGGCTTATAGCTTCTTAACTAGCAGAGATACGCTTACATGATCTATTATTTGATAGAAGCGCCTAGTATTGCGCCTTCTAATAAAAAAAGAATTAGCTAATTCTGCCTAGTATTAGCTAAGTTATTAACACTACCTAGCAAAGTATACCTATTAATGGGTATGCTCGCTAGGTACCCCCCCTTTTTAACCTTTTCTAGCCTCTAGCTTGTGCAGTTTAATAGTTATAACAAAACCCTCTACTACAGAAATGTAGAAGTAGTTTTTCTCTTTCTTTTAAGCCCTATTTCGCTAGAATCCATGTATTATTGACGAAGTTTTGGGGGGTACCCACGAAGGACGTTGGAGTATACCCATTCCGCCAGCCTAGGGTTGCTTATAGTGTGGGCAAGAAAGCCAATGTGGAATAAGATATCCACCTGCAGCTGTGTTGCTAGGTAGAGCAGCTTGCTAATAATAGTCTGATAGTTACGCAGCTGTTAGAGAGGCGCAAGATCATCTGTGGGACACATCTTGAGGCTAAGGACTACCACGTCAAGCAGTGTATGGCGAGCTGCAGAGTTTTCACGCTTATAGTCATGGATTAGCTTGTTAATATATCCTTCTATAGAGAGCTTAATAAGACAACGCTAGCAGTTACAACAGACGTGGATACTAAGATAATGGCTGATAGGGCCTAAGTCACGGCACTTGTACTTGTTAAAGACCTGCTGCTTAACCTTAGTTATACGCTAGCTTGTCTAGGTAATAAAGACAGTATTATTAATATAGGCAGGGATAAGACTGCTGTTGTTATGCTTAAAGACGCACAGGTTAGCTTCTAATAGCATAAATCTAATAGTAGTATTTGTTGTGACTGCAGCAAACGCAAGAGACTGAGCTGTCTGGATATTGTCACCGGCAAGCAGAAACGTGGGGATCCTGTCGACTTCTGGAGTGTAAGCGACTTTGGTGTCACGATCGTTCTGGCGGAGCAGAGTGTCGCCTTTGTTGACCTCAGGTTCCTCCCATGTGCCGTCAAGTAGGCCATGATAACCTTGTGATTTGGCGTAGAGCTTGTAGGCCTTTTCCCAATGAAAGTGATTAGAGCCGTCAAGCCGAAGCTTCAGTACAACGCTATCTAGGAGAGCTATGTTGCTGTGGGGTAATATATTGTATACTGTGGGTAATGGAGGGGTACTAGTGGGGTAGCTCTGGAGTTCAGACAGTAGGCTACAGGTGCTGCAAAAATATGCTCTCTTTAATATCATCAGTACGCTGCGATAGTACCTGCACTCTGGCAAGGTGTACTATCCCACGGTTGTACCGCGATTAAAAAAGGAGGGGCTCATAACCTGATGAGTGTGGCTATGTGAACTGTTGATTGAGTCTACCTGAGGGAGCGATTATCTACAGTGCGTGAAAGCGGGAGACCTAACCCAATCAAGAAGCGAGCTGGCCTATGAGACGCGCTGCCCTGCGCGGACAAAAGCAGCCACACAGTATAGAGTCGTGATTTTCTTAACAACAACGATTATATTTGCCCTTGTGTACACATAAAACTGAGAGTGCGAGCTACTGCAGTAGCTGCAGCCTTTTCTGCTTCTTTTTCTGCTGAAGTGCTTGCCTGTTGAGCCTGTAGAGCTGCTGGTCGGTCGATAGCAGTCTGTATACTCTCAACATTGCTTAATCGCTCATTTGGATTAACTTGAACTCGCTTTCTCGTAACATACTCTATCACCAAGCTGGCCATATCACTAAACTAGTCAAAAACTCTTAGCGTACCCAACTTATGTTGTAGTAACTTAAATTAACGTACCTCACGGGCTCGTGGATCACCCGGGCTCGTGGATCACTTTTGCCAAGCCCCCACCAAAACCACCCCATTCTGGCGCAAAATAGCCCTCTTTGGCCCTGTATAGTACAAAGCAAGATGCGATATTATTTAGAGTCTACTTCTACTACCTTCTGGCAGGTACGCGCATTATGCCTAGTCTCTTTACACTGTGTACACTGTTGTTGAGATAGTTTACCTACTTTAGCGCGCACCTGCCTCTTTAGCTTCTTCCTATTACTACGCGCCCTAAAGTCCTTAAGAGCAGCTAAACAAGCTCTATCCTCAACTGTTAAGGTCCCCTCTACTTAAACCTGCTTTCTTTTGTGCAATCTACGTTGCGTAGCAGCCTTATTTACTGCTTGAAGCTCTGCAATCTCCTTTTGCGCTAACACTAGCTTGTGTGTGATAATTACTGCTCCCTTTAAGACCTTCTTAAAAGCCTCTACTATAGACGTTAGTAAGCTATCTACATGCCTCTAAATCCTTGCCTTTATAAGTGTTAATTGTAATCCTAATTTAAGGGTATTACTTAGGGTTTGTGACTGCTAGGGCTTATTACTAGGGAGTAGTAGTAATAGAGTACGTAGCTAGACATTAAGCGCTATTATAACCTGTTCTAGGTTAAATAGGACTAATCTAGTGCCTTAAAACCCTCCTTAGATATTACTAGGAGTAATTACTGCATTATAGGCGTGTATAAAGCATAGTAAGAACTTAAGCTTTGTAATGTAGGTAATCTAGTTGCGCATGAGATTCTTAGCTTAGCAGCTATATGCTGTCTTTAAAGGCAAGAAACACCCTACATTAAGAGGCTGCAGGAGGTGTGATAAGTGTGGAGTAGGCTGGCGGAATGGGTATACTCCAACGTCCTTCGTGGGTACCCCCCAAAACTTTGTCAATAATACATGGATTCTAGCGAAATAGGGCTTAAAAGAAAGAGAAAAACTACCTCTACATTTCTATAGTAGAGGGTTTTGTTATAACTATTAAACTGCACAAGCTAGAGGCTAGAAAAGGTTAAAAAAGG